GCCAAACCATATTATTATACTTTCATGTTAAATACTAAAATCTGATTGGATTAGACGCGGTTTACAATCCGTTCTATTACCTCAGCCATAGCAACACACGTAACAACGGGTAACACAACGGTTATGCCACATGCGTGGAAATTATGCGCGTACGGTTCACCGGAGAATTCTAAAAGCGTCAGTTGCACGTTTGAAAGAACCGGAATAAACCTAACGTCAATGAAAGCTTGCGTCCGATGTACCTTACTTGAAAACAACAAACGACAGATATAGGATCCGGGCCACAATTAAAGGGTGAAGGTCAAATGGCTAAAACGTAGCACATGTAGGAAATTCATATGCCTCCCTTTCGATGATAAAAATAAAAATAGCTCACATGTTTTAGATACTTTTGGGGTATAGAATAAAAGTAGAGTGTCTAAAGTTTACAATGATATGCAGCAAGGTGCATTTCAAGCAAAAATTATGCCTAGAAATATGAATTGAAAAGAGCATTCATTTGGTTTGTTTACACTTTTTTTGCCAAGCGAGAGCTATCCCGAGGTCATGACGTCAGAAGTTTATTAATAACCAGGGAATTCCACATTCAACACCCCTATTTCTGGATGTGAATATTTATCTAACATATTGCTCTATCATGTGGTCAAAGATATTTTGGAAATGAAGGTTTTTAAAAAAGTTACAAAGAAAATAAAACACATGTTTTTACTATATAAGTCTATATGTAAGCTAATTGTGGTCCGGGTCCTTATGAAACATGCTTGCAAGTGCAGAAATAACGAAAATTTAGATGCTAAAAGACTTTTAGGGTATTAAACAAACAATAAAGAGGTCAGTAAATCTTTTTCGAAGTAGCGGGGAGTTTGAAAGCTTTCTAAACGTGAACGTAAAGACGATCGACGATTTTTTTTTTGCTGACATCCTACATTCAGTATAATAAAAGAAATGGTGCCTGTTTTGGAGGGTAATAGTTGAAATTGACACCTCAAGGAAAACCATTGTCAACCTCCGCTAACGCGTCGGTTGACAATGGTTTTCCTTGGGGTGTCAATTTCAACTGTTACCCTCCAAAACAGGCACCATTTATATAATGTTGAATTATGAAAGTTTTAAACATGTTAAAGCTTTACAAAGCATTTACCTGCATCTGACAAAAGGGTACATTATGTGAGCAGTGTTCACACACGATAATAAGATAGCTGCAGTCCGATTCTTTATGAGCCAACAGTTTATTCTGAGGCATCTTTTTATGACAGTCGTCACACTTTACTGGCTTAAACTCGCAAATTTCAGTGTGTTTCTATAAAAAAACATATTTACGAAATTTGAAATTACAAATCTCTGTAACCTTTGGCTACCATTGTACAAATTCTATTTAAATTTCACTTTTCAGGAAATTACTGAATTAGAATATATTGATTGTGAAATACTTCTTTAGATATAAACAGATTACTTTCATCAGTCCTTCTACAAATACATGTGCCGTGTCCTGAGAAGTACTACATATTGCGTAGAGAATCAATATATCGCAATATATTGAAGGGGGCGGAGTATGATAACAAGCATTTTTAATATTACAACAAAATTTGTTGAACTGATGCCTAAATTCTTGGTGTAATTCTGCTCCAATGTAATTAAATAAAAATCAAAGCACTGAAATAAAGGAATCCAAAGCTCATAACTGTTCTGTTTTTTTTTTCAAAACGGGTAAGAGAAAATTCAATATTTTAGCTTAGGTGTTATTAGAAGTGTATTTTGTTTCAAAATCCATGTCTTCACCTGAAGATTCCTCCACTGTAGTTTCTCTTGGCAACCCTCGCCGATGTATGAGCAATACACCTGTAGCAACATGATCTCTCGTCTAATACAGATATCTTTGTACACCTGAAATATAAACCAGTTTTGTTGATAAAATGAAAAGCTTGCTAGGTCTGACAGAAAGTTAATTCAGTAATTTTTATGTTATCTGCATGAATAAGGACAAAGGAAGGGACAAAAGACCTTGAAATAATGCAGATGGACAAAGTAAAGGAAGGGTTGATCTTGGCCTTTAAACTTTTTGACCTCAAATTCAAAAAGCAATATTTTGATAGGTTAGAAAGATCCATCACCTTTGTTTTATTGTAGGACCATTTCCAGCTTAGTTTGGACTTTCAGTAAGGCGTGGCATTCTCGACATTACATAATTAGCTTATGAAATTTGCACAGCTTTTCTTAACTGTTGAAATATACATGGGATAGAAATTCGAGTAAATGCCAATTAGTGTATCGAATAACCAATTACATTGTTTCGTCCTGCAAAGAGGTGGAGCTTAAGACGTCTCATCGTTGTCAACAACAGTGAAAGTTCCTGATGTTATTATTTCTTAACCAAAGAGAATCTATTCGTCATTTGACAGGCGGTAATGCCGAGAATGCCATGCCTTACTGAAAGTCCAAAGTAAGCTGGAAATGGTTCTAAAACCCTTGAGAGAACTTTTCATCAGAGACTGAAAACCGCTTAATACTACATATGAATTTCTGACTCTACCTTTGACCTCTGAATCAATAGATGCTTTCTTAAAATAAAGACTATTTTTAGGGAGATATTATATAAAAATATCATTGCAATAAAAATTTGCAATTTATCAGATTTTCAAGCTCAAGAAGAACAAAAGTTATTATTGTGATTATCACGAACCATTTTAGATGAGACATTTATATATGAATGTACCCATAAATGACAAATGAAATCCATTCAAAATGATAATTTTTTAGAGAAATTTTCTTCATCAGTGATACAGAAAATTTATTAACCTCATTTTTGGTAAACGGTTCCTCACATTCTTCATCAGTGTTGACAGGGCATGTGGCTTTTTGGTTTTCTCCAAGCAATGGATCAATGCATGACTCACATATCTGATGTCCACATTGTAGCTGCATTGCATTCCGTAATACGAAATTACACACAGGGCACACATACTTTGGCGGCGGTTTTTCAACAAAATGTGGCAATTTTGTTGATGTTGACAAGAAACTTCCCAAAGATGAAATAGATTTAGCCATCCTTTGTTTAGAATAACTATGACTGAAGAATTTGTATGGAACGCCGGGACTGTCTTATATGAGGATTAAACATTATATACAGTGTTTCCTTCATTATATGCGGTACTATTTTAATTATATGAAGTTGTTTTTTCTTTATATCGTGTACAACCTCCATTACATGCAGTACTTCTCTCATTATATGATGTAGATATGTCATTATATTATGTACATCTATCATTATATGAAGTGCTTTTAACATTATATATGCGGTAGTTCTATCATTATATGTGGTAGTTTCTAACATTATATGCGGTAGTTCTAACATTAAATGCAGTAAACACAATATATTATGTACATGTACTTCTCACATTATATACAGTACATTCATCATTATGTGTAGTATTTCTGCTATTATGATGATGCTGATCGTTAAATATTATGTCCGGTCCAGTTAGCATTCCGTGCGGTAGATTTTGCATTTCGTTATGATGTAGACACAGTATTATATTCGGTGCTTTCTTCTTTATGATAATGATCTTTTGGAAGCTACCCTTCTGAACCCCCTCTGTTATATTTAGAAAGTTTTACTTTTTCCGTTCTTAGATAGGAACATTCTTCATGCTTTTAGGTTAATTTTTTTTATTTATTTAGTTTGACAAAAACCACAGTGGCGCAAGTAAAGGAATATAATAATATAGTCATATGGATTTTCTTATATTTTAAAATTAATTGCAACACGTATGAAGTTACAAACGTTTCTTGTATATTTAACATGGATCTGCTGAATTATGAATTTCATAAGATATACATGTATTTTTGAAAAGTGTACAATTTTCACCCCAGTCCAAAAAAATAAAAATAAAATCCAACCCAGGAATTTCTTGACAAGCCAAAAAAAAAGTACTATTACGTAGGACGGGGAGGGGGGGTGTCTAGTGTTTCAAACCTCTGACTTGTCATACCAATTTAACATAAATTCACAGTTACCAGGGGGCGGGGGTCTGCATTTTCCGAGGGGGGTTCCAAGGTACCTTTTTCTTGCTTTAGTATAAGCAAAGTCCGGGGGAGGGTGTTCTGACCCCACCCCCTCTAGATGATTAGTTGTTTATAAAGAGGGCACAAACAAATAAAAAATTATGTTTATCTTCAACAGCAGTTGATACAATATCTTTCATCTCTTGGGTAACATAATCTGCCATCCTCTATCTTTATTTTGTTGACACTTATTTTCAATCGAGTTAAAAAAGAACAAATATTCTTGGAACTGGAAAAAATTAAGTATGTTTGAATTTCAAGCTTGTTTAGATTTTGTTGACCTATTAACTAGATTTATCCCTACATTTCGAAGTCATGTCAATACTTCAGTAGTTTACAATGAGAGAGAGAGAGAGAGAGAGAGAGAGAGAGAGAGAGAGAGAGAGAGAGAGAGAGAGAGAGAGAGAGAGTTGCGCCTATTATTGAAATATTTTTATCATTTCATTGTATTAATTGTTAAACTATGGCATATAAAAATGGCTGATATTCACTGTCTTTAACTGTACTATATAAATGATATGTATCAGGAAAAGACATACGATTTTCAGAGCAGACATTACAAGCGCGTAGTAACATCCTCCCCCTTTTCCTAAACATAACTTTTACTAATTGAAAATGCTCAATGTTTTTTGACTTGTCCACTTTCTTCAGATAACCTGAGTTATTTTTTTTTCTCCAGCTGACCCCCCCCTTCCCCCACTTTCAAAAACAATGCTACGTCACTGTATTAAGTCGTCTTGGGTTGTACTTCAAGAATTTACTTTTAAAAAGATATGTGGTAGAAACTCCTATGCCTATTAAAATTAGAGATAAAACGGTAATTTACATTGTGAAAAACAAGATGTGTTTGTAAAACACTATGCGCCCGGCGGCAACAAAGTTTAAAAAAATCTATTTTTAGCATATTGATCACAGTCAAGGTCAAAAAGTCATTGACCATGGTGTCATTTGAAAGAACTTAATCGGTGGAGTATGCATACTAAATATGAAGTCCCTATCTCCTATGGTTCAAAAGTTATGGCAAAAAGTGTAAAGAGCTATTTTTAGCATATAGGTCACAGTCAAGGACACAAGATCATTGACCTTGCCGTCGTTTGAAAGGACTTTATCGGTGGAGTATGCACACCAAATATAAAGTCCCTATCTCCTATGGTTCAAAAGTTATGACAAACAGTTGAAAAAGCTATTTTTAGCATATAGGTCACAGTCAAGGTCACAAGGTCATTGACCATGGTGTCATTTGAAAGAACTTAATCGGTGGAGTATGCATACTAAATATGAAGTCCCTATCCCCTATGGTTCAAAAGTTATGGCAAAAAGTGTAAAGAGCTATTTTTAGCATAAAGGTCACAGTCAAGGTCACAAGATCATTGACCTTACCGTCGGTGGAGTATGCACACCAAATATGAAGTCCCTATCTCCTATGGTTCAAAGGTTATGACAAACAGTGGAAAAAAACTATTTTAAGCATATAGGTCACAGTCAAGGTCACAAGGTCATTGACCTTGATGTCATTTGAAAGGACTCTATTAGTGGAGTATGCATACTAAATATGAAGTCTCTATCTCTTATTGTTCAAAAGTTATGGCGAAGGTTAAAGTTGACAACAGACAGAAAGACAAACAGATAAACAGCCAAACAGACAGGACAAAAACAATATACGCCCGGGATCTATCGATTCGGGCGCATAATTAGCACACCCCACCCCTAAATTAAATAAATAAAAATATGTGTAAAGTTTTCTATAAAGTGCTGTTATAGACCTGCGTACTCGAAGACATCAGTTACTCAGTATTTTTCACTATCCATTTTGACATTTATTGTCCTACACATGAAATGAATCATTTTGAATGTCATATTCACAAGAAAGATAGAAAAATGTTTCAATTCTTTTCTACTCTTAAAATATTTGTATCATACCCCCCCCCCCCATCCATCTCTCTCTTTTTTACTTCATACCATGAAATAGATGGAATTTTATTTTACTCTATTACCCTACTTCATATCTTTTAAAAACAATTTAATTAGTTCATGTAGCATTTATTATTCAATGCTTTAAAGATAGGCCACGGTACTTTTACCTATTAACGTAATTCACTAAACCTGCTTTATAAAACATTTTTGCGAAAACCCGACTAAAATCGGTACCGCCGTTTCAAAGATAATCAATGTTGAACGTCTGCATTTGCACCTGTGAAAGTGATCAATAATCCCACTCTCTACCATCGGCTCATACATGAGAGAGGAACGAACGACAACTCTGCATGGGAGATTGCAATAATCCTTGACAATGTCACTTCAATCTCTCACCAGAGGGCGCGCTCCGCTTACACACGGGTGTTGGCGCGGACGCGTAAAACGCCCTCTGGTGAGAGATTGAATGTCACTTCCGGTTCAAATGCAATCAAGTTCAATGACGTCACAAGTGTGTCTCGCTTCCCTCAAGTGAGAGGTGAATAAATGACAGAAAACGCTGTTTCGGATAATTCTGATAGTCCATTAGAAAAAGAATCGCTAGAAATTTCTTGTGGATCGTCAAGTTTTGATGAGGATTCATTGCTGTGCAATAATATAAAAAATTTGGGAGTAGAACCCTTTCGTTTTGAGCCCTACGCTAGATCTAACAGAATCGACCACAAACGATGTGGAACCCGAGGAAGCAAATCGTTTGCATAATATTTACGTTTATACTATTGATTGGTATGTGAGTAAAACGATAGAAAATATTCTCAAGTAGCATTTTAAATCATTATTTTAAAAAAGATATTGAATAAAAACACAATTCGACACATTACCTATTTAACACCCCCCCCCCGAAACTTTAACTATAAAGGCCTATTTAAACAGCTGACAACATGAATAATGTTAGTCCCTACTGATTTTAATTTTGCGTTCATTTTTTCATTTGTTGTGGTTTAATAAGTGTAATAAATATTTTTTTTTCATTGTCTTTTTTTTAGGATTTGCCATGTTTTTTTTAAACAAATGACCCCAGCCCCTCCAGTAAAAATGGATGCATGACTTTTTTAAAATTAAATTAGAACAAAGTCGCGTCACTTCGGTGCTTGCAGTGGTATAAATTTTAAAAGATAAAAAAAAATTGTATGTTTTACAATTCTGTAAAAAGAAAAAAAATGTTTTTATACACATATCAAAATAAATTAGGAATTAAATTTGTTAAGCTCTAAAAAAACAGGTTACGTATACATGTATACGAGAGATCTAGGCTTGATGCAACACAATCAATATTGAACAAGTCAAGGGTCCCGGATGACATTCTACCGGTACCTTACAGATGTCCAATCTAAACATTACGGTAATATAGAAGTTGATACACAGTTACATACATGTAAATCAAATAATTAATTAAATTCATATTCTATGTCAAGGAGAATAAGACAATTTAAGTAAAGATGGTGTGAAATGGGTCTCACTCCTGAAAATCCAAACATAATTTGAACAATATTTATTCAGTGTAAACTGAGTAGATTGAGCAACAGACTAAGCCTATATAGATACCTCTCTCTATAACAGGTCAAGGTTACAATACAATGAACAGAGTGGCTTGTGACTGTAAGCAAAAGTTTGAATTATTTGTGATAGACAGATCATTATGCATAATGTGTACAGTCGGCAATCTTGGGCTTACTCCGCTATGTACACTCCATTCAAACACAAGTATACGAGCCATACAAGCTGTGTACGCCATACCCCCCCCCCCCCCCAATAGAATGAATTAATAAAGTCACAAATTAATGATGATTTTATGAAGAAAAAATGTAGTTAATTTTTTTTTAATCCTATTTAATTTTTCATTCTTATAGTTATGACAGGGTGGGTAAATCTTTAAAATAAAAATGTCGAAATTTCTTTCATTCCTGGTTGAAAAAAAAAATAATCATATGCCGTAAACAGACAGGTATAGAAATGAACTTCATTTGTGGGAAATGGCTTTTTAAAGGTTATTTTACAGAGATAAAAAAGGAAGTCAA